ATTAATGGAGTAAAGACAATGAATGAGAACAAACTGTTAAAGGGTGGAAAGGCTGGATGTGAAGGAGAGCTGTTCATAAATGGGTGTCCAGGAGAGTAAAGATAATGGATGTGGAAGGAAAGATAGTCATGAAAGAAAAGGCAGGAATGGCTGGCTGTTCGGATGAGGAAAGGATATGAATACGGAATTAAAAATGTCCAGTGAAGGTTGTTCAGGTGAGGAAAGATAATGAAAATTGAAGGAAAGATGACAACGAAAGGAAAAGAAGTGAGGAAGACACGGAGAGCTTCCTCGGAAGAATTAAGATAGTGGCGGTTGAAGGAAGAAGAAATAGAAGCCTTTCCATCTGGAGATCTGATTAAATAAAGGCATTTGCTCCACTGAACACCTTCACTTTCTTTTTCGTCATTTCATTATTTTCTTGTACATCTTTCCTTTTCTCTTCTTTGCTGAAGATATTTTGGTCAGTCGTCCAGTTTGGTCCAGAGGATCGTTAAGTTTGGTCCAGATGAGTGGTGCAACTATGGTAACGAAAACAGCAGTCTTCTATGCCAACATGTCTATCTATGGGTCACCTAGAGTCAAAACGTCTTGCAACAACTTATTGTATAACATTAAGATGGCCCTGCTTTTTGCAAAACTATTTGAACGTCAGATTTAAGTTTGAAACATTTCCAGCGTATGCCAATAAGATCGCCCGACATCAAGCTCACAGCTGATATTCCTGTGGTATCTAACACGTTCATGATAAGGCCTCGAAATTATCAGATGACAACAAAACCTCCAACATGCATTTCGAACAAACAGATGCACACGCAAACAGCTTCATCCCGCCATTTGCCAGCTCTTCCTCGTCACCAAAGCGTCCTAAACTCAAAAGGCATTTGTTTCTGGCGTATTGCTTCGGAAGATACTACGCTTCTACGTAAATCCTCTAAGTTGAGTATACACTTATATTGCTTGGGGTACATGTTATCGAGCGTTTCAATCGTAAGATAGAGAAATTTTAGGAAACTGTGCCCTCACTCCAATACAAGACAAAGAACGACATAAAGAGAATGACTTGTATGGTCACATTCCACTCAAAATGTGCCATTTGTCTCATCAAGAAGTACTGCCAGCGCATCATGAAAAAGAATGAAAAACTATCCACCGAGTATTAATTTTGATGATCTTTTGCCTACCAAATACCTCAAAAGATGTAGTTAGTTTTCGTCAGTGGTGAAATTCCAACCAATGAAAGTCAAATACACATTCGTCAGTTGTTCACATAACAACTATGAACGTCACAGACACAGTCGTCATCGTCCAACCAAACAAATACATAGTTGTAAGATGTAAACTTCCCATCAATGAACTTAATTCAAAGACAGTCTCTGCCAAAGATCCTCAAAAACACAGTCGTAAGTGGTAAATTCTCCACAATGAACGTCTTCAGTTGTAATCCCAAAATCGATGAACCACCAAAGATGTAGTGAACGGTAGACTCTCCAACAGTGAACCCCTAAGGCTACCTGTCCGCCAATAAAACCCACAACCAGTGAACCTCTAAGGCAATCTGTCCGCCAATAAACCCCACAACCAGTGAACCTCTAAGGCTATCTGTCCGCCAATAACCCCCACATCCAATGAACCTCTAAGGCTATCTGTCCGCCAATAACCCCCACAACCAATGAACCTCTAAGGCTATCTGCCCGCCAATAAACCCGACAACCAATGAACCTCTAATGCTATCTGTCCGCCAATAAACCCCACAACCAGGGAACCTCTAAGGCTATCTGTCCGCCAATAAACCCCACACCCAGTGACCCTCTAAGGCTATCTGTCCGCCAATAACCCCCACATCCAATGACCCTCTAAGGCTATCTGTCCGCCAATAACCCCCACAACCAATGAACCTCTAAGGCTATCTGCCCGCCAATAAACCCGACAACCAATGAACCTCTAATGCTATCTGTCCGCCAATAAACCCCACAACCAGGGAACCTCTAAGGCTATCTGTCCGCCAATAAACCCCACAACCAGGGAACCTCTAAGGCTATCTGTCCGCCAATAAACCCGACAACCAATGAACCTCTAAGGCTATCTGTCCGCCAATAAACCCCCCAACCAGTGAACCTCTAAGGCTATCTGTCCGCCAATAAACCCCACAACCGAAGAACCTCAAGGACAGTGGTCTGTGGTGAACTACACACCATTACACGAACTGTTAAAACAGCTTTTAATGCTTTTTATTCACACAAGTTCAAAGCGGTAATCTTGATCAATCTTACTTGCAAAACAACCAACACTTTTAACTAGCCGCCTCCTAGTCCTGAATATCTCATTTTTGATGAGGCGGAGATATAGAACAAAGATAAAAGGAAGAAAGTAATTTATTTAATACGGACTAACCGTTTTTTACCGACGCAAGGAAAATTTCTCTTAAGCTCATTCGGTAGAGCGTAAGACTAGTAAACCAGAGGTTTTCGGGTTTGACTCCTAGTGTAGGCAATTGCAAATAATGACCTCAAGCACATTTTAGAAGCGGACTCCTTTTTCTATCGGGATAAACAACAACTGATTCACTGTGAGCAGAAAGAGGCAAGACCTTCCGGCGACCGTAGGCACTTGAATGCCCAACCGATTATGTTTATTGCGGCCGTTAGTCACACCAGCATATGCAATAATACACCGAGAATAGCAGAAAACCAACTTTACAGACTGGTCACGACGACCGTTGCTCTTTATCTTTTTGGACCGGAAGTTGAAAGCATATCCCATTATGGATATAATCAAAGGTTATCGTATCAACCCAATACCCGAAATATGGTTTGTGTAACAGTTTACATACTTGTCCGTGATATGTGAATACTTTTCCGTGATACCCATGCAAGTGTCTTCTTCAAGGGGGACATGGAAGAGACCAACATTGATCTACTGCCCACATTGCAACACTTGGGATGTTATCCGTTTCCTATCCTATCTTTCCTGTCTTCTTACTTTTCTATCTACTTTATTTCTCTTCCTGCTGGGGTCTCCCTTGATAATATAATGTGACCAGGTGGAATGCTGTGCTTGGTGCCTTCGGCATGGCATTTCAGTGAGATAGCACTATAAAGTCGGCATCAGATCGCGCTATCACAAGGAGGCAAGAACACAAACACATCCTGTCTCCTGCATACGTACACGCAAGCACGCGTACACTACAAACATTGAGGCACGACCTTAAATGACCTTAGCTGTTAATAGGACGTTAAACAAAATTAAACCAAACCAAACTCCCTATACACCTGTCCTCGTGTGACCCATGCTGTTGCGAGGACGTTCAACCCCAGACAAACAAACAAACTTGTCTGTGATATGGATGGTTGCATAGAACAGTTCCCGGACGAACGCACGCGCCATATCTGCTAGGTACGCGTCATATCCGCCCAGCACGCGCCATATCCGCCCGGCACGCGACATATCCGTTTTACTTCCGGTTCAACGCTTTTCAGAAAATTACCTCAAGCTGGTTGTGTGCTTTTTTGTCCTCTGGCTGATATGGGAGTCTCGAGCTGATACGGAGTAGGATAAGGAAATGGTCATATCAGTGACAACATTTTTATCAAATACTGCTCTATAACGTTAATTATAATCACATTCTTCCTCAAATAAAACACAATGAAAAGAATAGCGGAAATTACAGATCAAGTTACTTGTATTCAACATTGAATGTTTATTAATGCTATGAACGATATCTACACAATTTATTCCCATTTATAGCAGGTTAGATTCCCTATAAGATATAGGCCTACATATTTGAACATTTAATATGACCTCAGGGATTTACAGTCTGTGGACATTATTGCGGTAAAATCGTATTGCACCATGTACACATAATCTGTCCTGTGTGTTTTGTTGTTGTTTGTACTTCTCTGTTTGCAATAGTCGCATCGTCTTGAAAAAAGGAACCGGTAGCTTAGCACGATATTATTGAATTCACCGTAACAGTAAGGTCGCTGTATTGACGTGGTACATTTAAAACATATTAAATAACTTACTTTTTTTTCAAATGAAAAAAAAATCGTGTCCAAAGAGCTGAAATATGCTTGCTTAATGGTTTTGAATAAACAATTTTTGCTTTTTTTTTTTTATCGTAATGTTATTTCGTTCCCATGTGCTGATAAGTTACAAACCGTTGTTGGTGAATAACCAGTGTCACAACAATAGCATTGCCTTTGACGTATAGTAGGTAATATACGTATATATATATATATATTTGTTAAATAAACCAACTTTGTTCCAAATAACTTGAATATACTTGGCTAAGGTTTATAAATGAACAGTTATTGTATCAATATCGTTATGTTAGTTTGCCCGTGTTAATGTATGTGATAAGTTAAGTAAAGTTCATGTGTACATATATGTAAATGTATGGGTAAGGAATGTCAACTATTTCCGTGCCAGTCCCTATATGATAATAAATAGAATTTCACCACACTATCCGTGTATCCTATTTCCTATCATGCTCAGGAAAACATGGTTCATTAGATTTCAAAACTAAGTTTGATTGTGCATATTTTCCAAACCATTAACTTTTCATTTAGTCTTTCTCTTTTTTTTTCAATTTTCTCCATTCAAAAGAATACGTTTACTTGTGGTCTCGCCTCAGAGGATAATCATATTTCATACACTAGTACCCTTTGGTGTACAAATGCCGCTTAGTCCTGATATAACGGCGTAGTAGAGGTCTGCTGAAGTATTCACGCTTACACTGAGAAAATATTTTTCTATTTAAAAGGAAAACATATTCTGGTTACACACATGCGTGTCACTTTGATCGGTTATTTAATCTCATAAATAAAGTCTTATCCTTTGAAATCTAATCAGTGGTCGAGAAGTACGCATATTCGTGTAGGCATGTAAGTCAATTGTCTGGTACACAGGTAAGTAACTGCCCCCAAACGTTATCTTTGACTGACGTATCAAAATGACATACACGGAGTGACTTGTGAATCATCAGAGAACCTACACTAAAATACCGACTAGCCCTGGATACAAGTCACCGACACCGGCGTTTATATGGCCTAATTTAACCACGTGCTGTGTCCTCCATGTGCTCAAATAGTTGTATACAAACATATCGACTAGGATACAACCCCCTCCCATTAGCAGCTTTAGCGCGAGTGATGCTGATAAGCAAAGGTTAAAGTTTGACCCGGAAGTGGTGGTAAGACACACGAGCAGCCGTTCAGTAAAGTGGATGATTTTGTACACAAAACAAAGAGATGGGACGGTGGGGTTTGGAAACTTAGCGAGAGGAATTATTACTTCCAATTGGTCAGGATGTATTTAATGAGATCTAAGAAGCATTTTGAAAACCAGGATTTCAAGGAATTACAAGATAAACGTGAAAAATTTTCCGAGCGACATCGGGATGCCTCCAGTCGATCATCAGAGTCTGCTTCAGTGGATAAAAGTCCTGCAAAAACAAATAAAAAGGAAGAATTTACTCTAGAGGAACTTCCAGATGGAGCTTGTTTTAGACCAAAGTCTGTTTTATCAAATGTGCAGGATGCTGAAACGGCTGTTAGACCAGCTGAGGTAGGTAGTATATGGATTTATTATTCATAGGCATGTTTGTTGACATTTCAACAATCAGCTGTTTTAGTGTTTGTGGTAACTGGATTTTACCTGTGTGCTCATATTTGCTGCTTGCATTTCCAGTGTCAATTAAAATAGGGAAAACAATTAAAACATGTATATATCAGTTAAACATCAGTCAATATAACATCAGATATAAGGACAACTCAGCTTTAATATGAAATCAATGTAGGTCGCTTTGCTGTGTAGCTAGAGTAAACTATTTACAGTAGGGCCTATGGGGGAAGGCTTGGTGATAAGAAAATGTTAAAAGATTATATAAAAATATTAAAAGAAACATCACATTTAACATTTCTTTTCAAAATGTAGGTTTAAAGCTATTTCATCCAATATTGAGTTGTGAGATAACTTTTTTTTTTATTACCGTAAATCTCCTAAAAGAAAACCTCTAAATTTCATTTTCTGAAAATTTTGTCCATGCCAGTTAAACTTATGTATCAAATAATATTGTTATTTACATCGAATGATATAAATTCCTTTGAGTTATTTAAGAAAATAATAATAAAAAGAATAAACCCATGTTAATAGATTATCTACATCATTCATGAATGCAGAATTCACAATAATGTTATATATGAAATAGCCTTTAATCAGTATGTTTTCTTTTAAAATCATTGCAATTTGTTAAAGAAATGTATTACATTATAAGCAATTGTCAGTTAATGGTCTTATGGCTTCCTAGGATATAAATACAAATGTCTCAAGGCAGTTAGTTTGGCAGGTAAACCAATTACAATATACCCCAAGGAAACAAATTACTGGCAGTTCTACAACAGACCTATTCAATTAATAATGACAATGTTTTGGTATACTCTCCCACCTATTATAGAAATCCCTAAAGCTATTCTTCAGTTCACACAACTCTGTAAGTGTCATATGTTACAAAGCAAATAATGCACAGGTTACTTAATGTTATAATGTGTACAGGTGCAAGATGAACCTGAATAATTTACAAAAAAATGATTGATTTAAAATCTATTGTATTGACTTACAAAACATCTTCATTATGCTGCCATGAGCCAGCAATCAGCAGTGATTGATGGGGGATATATATAGATATCTGAGAATGTACATGTACATCATTGGTGTTAATTGTTGGTAAAATATGAAAATTTGAAATTTAATTGATATTATATAGTCATTTGATGTAATATATAATTGATGTTAACTGCATTCTTGTCAACCCTTTAACTTTTTTTTCATTTGGTATTAATTTCATGGCAAAGTATAAGAATGTCTGAAAATAATGAATCTACAGTGGCCCTATTTCACCAATGCTATAGGTCTAGTATAAATGTCCTAGTTTAGCTTTTTTATGAGATAAACTAACTGAATTTTGAGAAAAATGTAAGATGATGGGAATTCTGTGTCAAAATAAAAAGAAAATGTGAAAACTTTAGTCTCCAACCTTGATATACATTATGTTTATGTGCATTAATGTTTCTGTCTTGAAAAAAGGGCAGATTGAAAAAGGGCAGATTGAAAATTTGACAAATTCTCATTCGTCTGCACCGTTGTTGTTCCTTCTTTGCTTGTAAATTGATCTACTTGTGAGATTAGAGTCTTGATATTATTTCATTATTTTGCCATAATCTGATGGAATTTACAAATATACTAATGCATTAACTATTGTACAGTAGCTTTAATAGGTAAGGTACATAGCGTTTTAACGTGACCCCAAAGTGACACCCGTAAAGCGTGTCGTTACTCATCCGACCACTTCCTATTGTGTATTTATTTCAACAGTGATCTTGAGAAACGTGACAACTGATTCAAATTTGTCATCCATGTACATGTAGGTTAGAATGACTTATTAAACAAGTTTGTATACTGATATTACACTTCTATATAGAAAATAAAATGGGTTTAATTTAAATCCAAGTTTTTTTTTTTAAATATTTAAATCATACACTTTTATTGAACTTATATGAATATAAAAAATTATGGATCCAACCTTTCAGAGTTGGCCTAAGTTATGTAGATAATACACAGTACATGTGTATATACTTAACTGTAAATTTAGAATATAGGTGACACTGCTATTAATATAATATTCATAAGCATGATCAAATAAAAATATAAGTTATACATACAGAGTAAGGAAATATGCTGTTAATATATATTGCTAGAGCCGATCAGTGTATCTGCTCATGAAGGTATGGAGACAAAGAATTTTTCCATTTATTTTCTTGTGACACAAATAAGTTTGATAAATGCCACAAAGAATACGAGAAGACACTTGTTGATTCAGCGCTACATATCTGTTGATACATTTATAGTCTGTGACACTACCACGTACACTGTATGGTAGTCAATGTCCCCACGATTACGCGATGCTGTAGATCTCTCCCTGATTATAATAAATGAAATGCAGTTTTTTTGCGTCTGAACATTGCTGAAGATACTCTATTAAACTTAGAAAGATGTATGTGATGCATTTTATTATAAGTTAATGGTGGATCAAAGAAAGAATTTCAGAGTAATGCAGCTAAACAATTGGTGTTATGTACTTGTAGAGGTACATGCCTAGAACTGATGTTTCGTGTACATTAACACATATACATTGCCTATTATTGTGTCTAACTTAATGGCTACACTAGATATAAAGGAATCTCATTGTAGCAGTGGAACCATTGTCGATGGATATAACATGGCAAGGTTTTTAGGTACAAATTACCATGTTTATGTAATTCACAGATATTGTATTGGTCCTGCACTCGTTCATGATGTGTTTATGTCAGTTGATAGAAAGTTGGTTATCTCTGACTTGATCTCTTTTCATGGTGATGTAGATGTATTGATTCGTAAGCTTAAAAGTAAATCATATTGAGGGGTGTTCAGATGAACTGTTTATACAGACAGGGAGAACTTTAGTCAGACATTGTGAACTCATTGACCTAGTTATATATCATAATGTACTTGTAGTATATATTATAATGTACTTTTAATATATTATATTTGTACTTGTAAAGCTAATTTTTGTAAATTTTGTGTATTTAAATCTATAAGATGTATATTATTATTAACAATTTTCCTGACATGATATAGGAAAACACTGGTGAAACTGATGTACATGTATTTATATCAGCAGTGATTTAAATGAAAAATGTTCTACCTATTGTGAATAACAAACTATTAAGGTGAAATAGGAGCCAGAATATATGATAATATTGATACAAGCCAGGGTACAGTGAGAGCCACTTATTACCTAAATGTAGCAGAGGTGACGTATATGTAGCTAGCCCTATTTAGGAGCAGGGCCTTAGAAAGAGCACAAGGGGTACAAGAAGCAATGTTATTTTTTTCTATCCAAAATTTGGTGGATTCACCTGTGCACTAGTGTATAAGACATGTATACGTGCCTGCCTAGGATGGCCAAAATAAGATAATTTGTTTACGAAAAATAAATGCAGTACATATTGCAATGGTCACTATCAGCAGATTCTGTTACCTGGAATCTTTGTTTAGGTGGGCACAGTTATTTGTACAGTTATTTCTGGTATCTGATGATCGAACAGATAACTAAGACCTGAATACAAAACACCAGAATTTTATGATAGCTATATATATATTGAGTTATATGTTTGAAATTGCTGGGTGAACCAGTTTGTAACAGGTCTTTTTATTAGGACAAGTACGGTTGGTATTGATATTGGGTACAGAGCACCTGTGACAGATGTAGGGAAATGCTTCATATACATCACACATCAATGCATTTATTGGACAGACTGTGGTAGAGAATTCCTTAGGCAGACTTAAAATGTAAAGGATGTGCATTGAACATTGTATCAAAGTGGTCATACTACCTTCAATATTTGGCTGTAGGGAATTTCCCTTTAGCTCAGCGATAGATAATGATCATTGGACATGAAATTCTGTGGTCGCTGGTGTGATTCGCAGGGAATGCGCAAGTTCTTTGATCTACAGCTTCCTAATCCTATTCAGCCTACACATTTTTGTATACATGTACATGTAGGTCTATTGTGGTGGCCAGGTAGCTAAATTGGTTAGAGCATCCGTTTAGAGTTCGGAGGTCCTTGCTTCAAATCCTGGTCTGGTTGAGCATTATTTCCTCTCTTGTTACGTATACGCATACCTGGTACAGTACATATTGAGTATAGCTTTGATACTGCTATAAACAGTGAAGTAGATACATCTACCGTGCAAGTCCTTGGATGAACTCTATATATTGTTATTTTTAATGTATAAACAGCACTGGTCACTTAATATTTGTTTTTTACTGATTTAGCTAAAAGTTTGAAAGGGATGCCAATACTTGAAAAAATAGTTTCACGATCCTAAGTATGATTTAATTGGGATGCCAACTTAATGGCTAGTGCTTTCTAGATAAGCCTTTATGGTGGAGCTAAGTGTCATGCAATATTAAAACTTGGAGTAGGAGAATACTTACACCAATAGGGAGAATAAATATAATAAAGTCTATCCTAATTTCTCAATTTAATCACTTATTTATCGCTTTACCAAATCCTGATAATACATTTGTCAAAAAGATAAATACAGAAATATATAATTTCCTCTGGAATAGTAAGATTGATAAAATTAAAAGAGATGTAATTATTAAAAACTTTTCTGATGGTGGTCTCAAAATGATTCATATTAAATCATTTATAGACTCATTAAAACTAACTTGGATTAGAAGATTACTCTCAACAACAGGAACATGGCAAATTATTTTTAATTCAAATATTGATAAAAACCTTCTTGTAAACTGTGGACCAGACTATATTTCCTTTTGTCATAATAACTGTAAAAATCTTTTCTGGAAAGATGTCTTTCTTGCATGGAAAAATCTTACTATTCTTGAGAAAAAAATATACAGATTCAAAACAGATCTCCAACATGCCTATATGGTTAAACGAAAAAATCAAAATAGATAATAATAGTGTTTTTTTATAAGGATCGGTATAGGAAGGGAGTTG